AGGGGGTCACCATGGCACCCCATTGACGAAACCAATTCCCTTCCTTTCTTCCTTTCCTAATGCAGTCAAAAAATGTAGAAAGCAATGTTCCCTAAAACAGCTATAGAGAAAACATTTGCTCAGCTTGGATAATTCTTAATATAGGCCATATAATTTCTAGCCTATTTAATTACATAACATATTTTATGCTTCATGACCAATTACATTAATAGCTTAATACAGAAGAATATTATCCTCTCTTGATTTGATTATGCAGCCACACAATATGGTATATTTGGTACTTAATTATCATCATCCATTGAGCAGGCTGCTGTGGTAGAATAAACAGAGAGCTGGGACTATGCAGGCTGTGTTATTGTCTTTAGATGGTTTTGCCACTTCTGTTAATAATGGACCGCGGATCTACTTAACAAAATGACTGCAGCGTCTAAGCCTTTAGATTACCAGCTTACAGTGTCAAAAACATCTGTTCGGCTTTTCAACTGTATGTACTGGAGGTTAAATAGAGGTGAATAAAGCTGTCCTTTTAGCTCTGGGGATGGGCAACAATAAATATAACACAACCTTAATTCGACGAACAGGTAACTCGCAGGAGGGATCCGAATCCTTCAACGGCCGACTTCCCAACATTTTAACTCCCAACTTCCCGTCTTGATTTACAAGATTAAGAATTTTTAGATGCGTTAGATCTTATTCCTGATATGAAGCCATTCTCTTTTGGAATTTTCAGACATAAACTATTGGGCATGTCATATGACCTTATCCTGACTTCTTACCTTTGACCTTTACAATCTCTTGGGTGTACTGCGCCAAGAATGCCTCTAATTCAAAAAAGGGGCTTCATTTTGAATATACATAAAAGCTCATCCCTTCAAAATGAATATGCCATAATGTTTTGTATAATAAATTTTTCATGAAGAAATATAGATATGATAAGACGTCAATTTTATTTTAATACCTACGGTTTTTGTCCATATGTATAAATGCAACGAAGGAGAATAAACGACAGAGCAACAGTTAACTGATAAAACTTGACTTAGAATTTATATTCTTATTGCATTTATCAAAGGAATGTACTGAATACCATTTTGAAAAACAGTTCCACTTTATGACATTTAGTTGCATTAAATATTTAGTTCTGTTGTGTTGCATTATACTGCTGTGCGATGAAATTAAATGCAAACTACAATTTGAATGTCTGCAAACATTGGCAAGAATCTGCAGCTAAATTTAGATATAAGATTTGCAGTGTCTGTTTTTTTTTTCTTTTCATCTTTGATGGGTAAAGTATAAAAATGTTGAGGAATTTGACCTGCTTTCTTTTTCCCTCTCTCTTTTCAGGTTTGCAGAGCATGCCAGGGGACTACGTTTCTCAGGGTGGTCCTATGGGAATGAGTATGGCACAGCCAAGTTACACTCCTCCCCAGATGACCCCACACCCTACTCAATTAAGACATGGACCCCCAATGCATTCATATTTGCCAAGCCATCCCCACCACCCAGCCATGATGATGCACGGAGGACCCCCTACCCACCCTGGAATGACTATGTCAGCACAGAGTCCCACAATGTTAAATTCTGTAGATCCCAATGTTGGCGGACAGGTTATGGACATTCATGCCCAATAGTATAAGGGAACTCAAGGGAAAAGGAAACACACGCAAAAACTATTTTAAGACTTTCTGAACTTTGACCAGATGTTGACACTTAATATGAAATTCCAGACAGCTGTGATTATTTTTTACTTTTGTCATTTTTCATCAAGCCACAGAGGACCAATGAGACAAGAACACAAATGTGAAATCATGGGCTCACTGAGACAATTCTGTCCATGTAAAGATCCTCTGGAAAAAGACTCCGAGAGTTATAACTACTGTAGTATAAACATAGGAACTAAGTTAAACTTGTACATTTCTGTTGATCACTCCGTTATGTTGCCTCAAATAGTTTTAGAAGAGAAAAAAAAAATATATCCTTGTTTTCCACACTATGTGTGTTGTTCCCAAAAGAATGACTGTTTTGGTTCATCAGTGAATTCACTATCCAGGAGAGACTGTGGTATATTTTAAACCTGTTGGGCCAAGGAGAAAAGAACCGCGCTGGAGACCATGGTGAGCGTTTGGCTGAACCTCAACCCCCAGGAACTCCAGCTTCAAGAATGTGTTTTCATGCCCGGCCTTTGTTCCTCCATAAATGTGTCCTTTAGTTTCAAACAGATCTTTATAGTTTGTGCTTCATAAGCCAATTCTTCTTCTTATTTTGGGGGACTCTTCTTCAAAGAGCTTGCCAGTGAAGATTTAAAGACCGAGCAGGAGCTTCTTCCAGGAGTTCTAAGCCTTGGCTGTGGACAAAACAATCTCAAGTTGGGCAGCTTTCCTCAACACAAGAAAGTTATTAATGGTCCTAGCACCACAACTAGGACTTTATCAGAAACTCAAAGCTTGGGGGATAAAAAGGAGCAAGAGAATACTGTAACAAACTTCGTACAGAGTTCGGTCTATTAATTGTTTCATGTTAGATATTCTATGTGTTTACCTCAATTGAAAAAAAAAAAAGAATGTTTTTGCTAGTATCAGATCTGCTGTGGAATTGGTATTGTATGTCCATGAATTCTTTTCTCAGCACGTGTTCCTCACTAGAAGAAAATGCTGTTACCTTTAAGCTTTGTCAAATTTACATTAAAATACTTGTATGAGGACTGTGACGTTATGTTAAAAACAAAAAGGTGTTAAGTCACAAAATGCGGTAATAAATATTTCATTTTTGATTTTTGTTAGGCTTTCGTGTTTTTCATAGTTTTAAGGCAAGTTTGCACAGTGCCTACTCTTTCTACCGTATTACAAGTAGGTAGTGATTTCGTTCCCCAGAAGTTGGCCATATTCGAAACTCACCAATAATTTTTAAGGGAACCTTCTGTAGTGCTTAGTATATATTTAGCTTAGAAATTCCACCAGCAGAGAACTTCTAAAGGTATGAATTTGTGTGTGCATGTGTGTGTGTGTATGTGTGTGTGTGTGTGTTGTGTGATGAGCTGGGTTGAAAGATTACCTTCATTCAGTATGTCTAACCTCCTTTTTAGATGCATGATGTTGAAAAAAGTACTTTCTGATAAAGCTTTCCGTGTTCATCCTCTGCCAGAATAAAGGGCTTTTTCAGGGTTAATTTTACATCATAAGAAATAACTAACGTCTGTGCTCAAAGATAATTCATCTGCCTGTGTTTTTTCTCTGTCTTACTTACTAAAATACTGTTGAATATGTAAATTAAAATTTACATATAGATGTTCATAGATGAGTAAACAACTTGTATGGAGTTTGAAATCCTGAGTTGAAAAGATTACTTAATCATTAATATTTAATATAAATTTTGTTATGATGTCTTTTTATTTCAGACACCTCCACGTGCAGACACGCTAGTGTGATGAATTGGATGACTAAACGTAAATTTTTTTCTAAACAGCAAAACAGGCAATATAATGCCATTTTCAGAGTATCACACAACATTCCTAGAAATCTGTTATTGGCTTGCTGGTACTGTACAAACAATGCCTGATAAAGTGTGCAAAGTGAAAAAAAAGTGTGAGGTATTTGCATGCCCCCTCAATTTTTAAAATAAATACACTATTCCTGGAATTTTGAAACACCTACATTTTTAACCCTATGTGTAGAAGAGATAATATAAAACTAGTTCTGTGATGTCAGCTTGATGGGGAAATAGTTCACCAGCTCGGAAATCCAAGTTTGTGTCTCACTTGGACTTCTGCCATCTTCCCATTGCAGAAAACATCAATGGAAGTTGTATATAAAGAAACAAGGAAATAAATTTCTATTGTTTTGTTTTTTTTTTTTAGTTAGGTAGATTTTTTTTTTTTTTTAATAAACACATCTATCAGCTTAATTGATAGGCTGCTTTTTCAATGTAAAAATAACACTTCGGACACAAGCTGATTGTTGGTCGTTAAAGGAATAATTCTATGCCACTTGGAAAAGAGCTTCCCTCTCACTTTTGTTATCCCAGCATACAAGGAGTCTTTTTGCAAAATTTAAATTTAAATATTTGTATATTTTTACTTTAAATGCTTTTAGGTAAAGGTCTGTATTTACAAATTAACTCACATCTGCTGGAGAAAAAAAAATGTTTGGAGAAGTTTTTCTTCCTTTCCTCTCAGTACAGTACATGCTGCAGAGTTTACTTGGTAATGGTTCATGTTTAGGAAGTATTTAATTAAATTATTATTAAGCTATTTCGTCAAAGTTGAGATCCCAAAGCTCTCTACCCTTGGTTTTAATGAATAAAATCATGTCAGGCTTAGATACTTATATAAATCATGTTAACCTTAACCTTCTTCAATATTTGGAGATAATTGTAATAATACTTGTTTGCATTTTCTCCCCCCACCCCCATATGCTAAGACCAAGAGGTAGTAGAGTTGTCCAATTTTTATAATGCTTTTTTTTTTTTTTATACCACCTCAGAAGGCATTTGCTCCTATCTCGGGTTTACTATTTAGTATAAAGAGTTCCGATTTGGGTATATTTAAGAAAGACTCAGCTGTCAAAAGCAAAGAAACTGGGAATGGTGTTTTGACAACCATATAGTGTTAAAGGAAATACTGTAGTCTGAATAAAATTGCTTATGTTCTCCAAAACAAGAGTAACATAAAAACACTTTTTATTTATATGGAAAAGCAAAAGCAGAAATAAATTCCAAAGGTTTCCCTTTCTTTAAGAAATTCTGAGAGAACTGCAGTCGCCATCTGTTAAGGGTTGGGAATTGAGCAAGAAGCCACATTTAAACGGAAAAAGAAAAGACCAGGAAAGTCTGTGTCTTCCATCCACCCCATCTCCCTCCCACCACCCAGGTCAGCACTTCCAGGTCCGCGTGCCCTCCGCCCCCCAACTCTCTGCAGCTCACCCTAGTTAGATTGGTGGGGAAGGGACCTCAGGACCCTCCTGGCCTCCTTGCCCCTCCCGCCCCCCGTGGGCCTGCTAACCCGGAGCAGGTTTGGGAAGGGAAATGTGGCTAATATCTCTAACAGCTGTCAGAGGAGGGACCTTCCTTCAAAGGGACTAGACCGGGATCCCCGCAAGTTCCCCATTAGTCTTGCAGGGCAGCAGTTTGGTAAGGAGGCTGCTCTGCCTCAAGTAGCCACCGTGTTGGAAGGGCTGGCGTCTGGACGCGGCCGAGGGGCCCTCGCTCCGCAGCTCTGGCGGCCGCCGCCGCCCCAGGAGCAGGCTCGGTGCGGACGTGCGCGCGCCCCGAGGCGGCGAGGAGGCTGCGCCGGGGGCCGGGGCGGCGGGCGTGGGCAGGCTCTCCCAGTCCTCGTCCGCTGCCCCTGCCCTCCCCCGGCCTTCCCTTTGCGCGGTGTTAGAGGTAGACCGACGTGCTTCAAATTGATGGGGGGCGGCGGGAGGGGGCTCCTAACGGTGGCAGTAATCAACTCGGGGTGTCGCACGCGTCGTCGAGCTCCCTCCGCGGGGCCGGGGCTGGGACGGAGCTGCGGGGCGCGGGGAGGGGGAAACCAGGTCTGATGGGGGAGGCCGGTCAGACTGTGATGAGAATGGAGACCGTCGGGGCAGTGTTTGAAGGGAGGTTTTAATATTAATAGTTTCGGTGTAGAGACAGAAGGGAGATTGCGTCTACGGCTCCTCGGGGCAGACTCTGGGTGACAGCGATGATGGATGATCTAGCAGAGCCCAACAGCTCCTCCCCTCCAGCCCCAACAGTGTCAAAGCTACTTTAGTTGAAGCTTTGGAAATAAAATAAATAAACAGCATCGCTTCCCCCCCCCCTTACTCTTCGTACACCTCCACTCCCACCCCCACCCCCGCTTTCCCACATCGATTTATAGATCATTATGAATCAATTACTGCTCTCAATACTTTCCCATTGGCTTAAATAAAACAGTCAAAAGATGAAAACATGGGGTTCGGTAGGGTTCCCCCCCCCCACAGGAACAATTGCAAAATCCATTATCTCATCATCAGAGGCTCCGAGTTAGGAGATGTAGAGAAAGGAAGGAAGGGGTCGCCCCGGGGGGGGGGGGGGCACCAAAGGGGGGGCACCCAGCTGCTGCCTTTGTTCAGATGGGTTTGGTTGGTTGGTTTGGGGTTTTTTGAACGGGGGAACCCGCGTGAGAATGAGATGCCTACAGGTTTCGTAACCTAATTATTTAACCCCTTTAGAGAAACCTATTTGAATGTGTGTCTCGGCAAACATCAGATGTTGTTGGTGGTGAGGTCGCACATGGGAAAAGGTGTGGAGGAATGGGTCCGTCTGGAGGGCGGATTTTCACTTTGTTGTGAGCAACTGTGGGAGGGTTCGCTGCTGGGAAGGGGGATTCTCCCAGCCGCAACGCCCTCCTAGCTCCCCGCGGTTGGCTGTTTTTGTCGTTGGGACTGGTTTGGATCTGGGACTGGCCGCCCCCGGTCGCCCCCGCCCCCACCTCGGCCGCCCGAGGCTTTTCTTCCCTCTCTTGCCCCTTCGCGGCGGTGCTCGAGGTTCTCTAGGTGTTTCTATGACTACATTGTGTGTGTGGGAGGGTCAGATGTGGGGGGCTGCCCGCGAGAGGGCCGTTCCTGGGCGATCATTTATCAATGTCACCCACATAATGATTCTCTCTGCAGCCTCCTATTGATGAGGATAATTACATTAGCTCAGAGTGACTGATCAATGAAAAACCACCACACAAAAACTTCTTTACTCCTCTATAATACCAAAAACCGATACAGAAATAACATAGAAAGCCTGATTTTTCTTTCCCTTTCCTATCCACCAATAGATTCTGCCACCCCCCCAAAAAAAGGACTGGGAGTAAAGTAAGAAAATAGACCCAGGTTTGTTTCGTTTAAAGGAGGATGCAATTTTGCCCGTGAATGCATTTTCTCAAAATGCGTTGGCTTCATTCCTCCTTTGCTAAAGAATATCAACGGATTTACTAATGTGAGTTGCTTTTAAACTGGTCTGTGGTTTTCCGTTCTTTTTATTTCTTTCCTCCCCTTTGGGCATTTTTTTTTTTTTCTTCTAAAAAAAAAAAAAAAAGAGAGAGAGAGAGAGAGACAATTCTTTTGTAAATAACTGGAAAAGGAAATTACTCTAGGTCCTGTCTCTCTTTTTTGTTTAGCCTTTGCTAAAGTCGGGTTATCTTTTGTCTTTATCACTTCATAAAGTAGCGCAATTAAAGATGTGATATTGCGTGGGTATAAAGGGTGGATCCATAATACGGGAACATAATACGCTATATTCTTGCCTGAAAGTTTGCAGCTAAATTACGATTTTGCCTTTTCTACACTTAAAAATCAATATTTTCTCAATTAAAGAGAATTTTAATGCTTTACTTGCGAGTTGTTAAAGGCGCTGTAAATTTTATTGTAATGCTTCTTGACTTCGGAGTAGATGCAAGAGACCGGTTGATTCTCATGGTCTTTTTCCTCCCAGAGAACCTAGTCCAGGAATATCCAGTGTGTCAGATCAAATCCCAGCAACAAAGGTAAGGAGTGTTCCGAGAGGGACGGGGCACGGGGTGGGGAGCCCTCCAGGGAAGCCCTCCAGCGCCAGAGGCCATTGTCTTGTGTATTTTCACCTCTCTGTGTCCCCCCTCCTGAAAGTGACAGAAGTGTCCATTTTACTCTAATCTTTTTCAAAGAAGAGCATGTTCGACTCCCATCTGCTCTGTGACGGCCAGGAGAGCAGCAGCATTTGGGGGAGCACTCTAGACTCTTTCCAGCATCCCCCCCCTTTTCTCCTTCCTCTCCTTATTTAGCCAAAATTTAACTCTGAACTCTTTCACAAATCCCGCCATATTTTATATATGTTCTGACCTCTGTGTCAGAGCTCATTCCCTACCCTCAGGAGTGCTCACTGTTTACAGATGTTTTCTCCTTCCACACGTCCCACCTAGTAAAAGTTCCCGCAGAGAATTAACTGTGGTGTGTTAATAGCCCAGGTCTGCTACTGCTCTCTCCTGCAAAGCTGAAATCTGGTAAGGTGGAGAAGGGCATTGAACTAACGTTGGAGAGCTGCCCCAGGCCCACAGAAGCCCTGACTTGAGAATTCCAGGCCCAGGGATTTGGTAGGAAGCAAGGTAGTGAAACTTTCAGGATGCAAGACAGAGAGGAAGATAAGAAAATGAGGCTAGAATGGAACCTAAGAAGAGGAGAATAGGCTAAGGGGGAAAAATGAGCCTTTGAGACCTCTTTGTAATTTAAAAAGAAATAATAATGAAGGGAAATCGAATATCTAAGGCTTGCTATTAATTTCTTCTTCTTTTTTTAACCCAATGTCTGTTTAGGAACAAGTCCTCAGAGATGCCAGGAAGGGCCTGAGTTTCCAAATAGAGCTGCTCTTAAAGTTCCTTTGCAGTTAGTTTCCCCCTTCTGTTAATTTGCTGAGAATGTGAAGACTGGGGAGAGGGCTATGTGTGTGGTGCACCAAGGGCTCGAGTAAGAGTATGGTGGGAAGGGGCACCTAGATATAATGAGGCTGCTGTTTTAAACTCAACAGAGAAGTGGGGAATGGAGAAAAAGCCGTCCAGCACCACAGTACACTTTAAAATTATTCACACCTACCTGTCTTTCCCCCTTTAACCACACTATCAAATATTATACATAGATGGGGGAAATTTCTAGTTCATCATCTTTTTGTCTGTAGCCCCACCCAACTGATCCCCCTTTGCTTAGATGCCTGATGTGTAAGCCTAGACCCTGGCCTTTTTGTCAAGTGAGTGGGGCTTTGTTAATGTATTTGTACTTTTCAGCTTTCAGTGTAAGTTTCTTGCTTTGGAGGAAGGAGGGGTGTAAGAACGGAGGGGGAGGGGAGCAGAACACAAAGACTATCTAGTTCTCACCAAGCAGGTTTCAAAATAGGAACTTAATGGGAAGGGAAAAAAAAATGAAAGAATGGGGGAAAAAAATAAAGGAGGGGGGGTGAGAATTGCTGATCACAACAGGTTTGCTTGTCTGGAAGAGAGGTGATCCTGCGAATATTTTTCCTTTTGAGGATTCTGTTTTCTTCATATTGAAACATTTTCAAGTTTTAATCTTTTAGCGGACAAAAACCTCAATATTAATATGACATGGGCCACTGGCAAAAAACCGAACTTAAACTCAGTGCTGAGAGGAGGAGAGTAGGGTGGGGGGAGAGAGCCCTTTCTGATTAATAACTAGCAGGGTAATGTTGAGGGCTTTTTCTGCCCGATTGCCTTTTTGAATTAGAGCCGATTTCTTCACACTTCAATAGTGCCTGTCTCCTTTAAAATGACTGGCAGATTTGTTTCTCTTTTTTCTCTCCCTGAGACTTAATGATGTAAATTTTCTAATTAGTTAAATCATATTGCTTACAGGCCTAATATTTACCGTGTAAGAAATGATCATCCTGATTTGGACCTCTTGAAATATTCCGAGAAATAACATTTGGCTTTTAGGTTGAAGGATGGGAGAAGAGGAAGCTGTGTTACGGGAAGCAGTTGAGAGGAGAGAAGGCACAGACCAGGGCAACATGTTAAATTAATAGTTGAAGTTGAGCTGGGCTCACACCCCAAGTCCGCTTTTATTTTTCAATCAGCGAAGATTTAATTGGCAGCCCTCAGGCCGGGCGATCTGATATTTTCTCATTAGTTTCCCATCACTAATCTTGAGTGTTAGATTGGCTTAAAGGTTGTCAACATTTGACCAATTTTATTTAAGGGGGAAAAAAAAATCAAGCATTATGGCTCCGGGATGTGAGATCTGCAAATAAATCCTGCTTGGATCAGCGGAACTAACAGGCGAAAAAAATGTTGACTATTCATCGTCGCATTTAATAAGTTGCATTAATGTATATTTCAAAGCCAGGGAGAGAGATTACACAGGAGCTGCATAGATGCCCATGAAAGAGGTTGGTGGGGAGTGGGTTGCAGTGAGCGAGGTGGGCAGGGAAAGTGAGGTGTAGGTACATTTCGAACAGAGGGCAAAAAACCCAAGTGGAATAGCTGCTGAGGGTTTTGGACCTTCAATCCCTCCTCCCCTTCCTTTTGCAGCTGCGCGAAACTGCAAAACCGGTCCTCGGAGCTCTGAGCGGCTGGGCTGTCTCGTCCACATATAACATCAGAGCGCCCCCTGCTGGCGAGCGGAGTAGAAGGCGGTGGGTCAGCCCTCTGCGAAGCAAATCGTGGTTTTTTGCGCCACCCCCATCCGAAACACCCTCCCCAGTACTGATTCCCTTTCACTACCCCCACCTCGGTTCTGCAGCAAAACCCCGCGGCAGGGGAATAGCTTGCCAAGACCGAGCATGTAAATGAATAAATGATTAAAAATAATAAAGTACGAAGGAACCCCAACCTTCACTTGGCCTCCGGGGAATAAACTATCAATTGACTAGGAAAGGGACACATTTTCTTTCTCTAAATTCTTTTCTTTCTTTTTTTTTTCCTTTTCTTTTTTCTTTTTTCTTTCTTTCTTTTTCTTTTTTTCTTTTTCTTTTTTTTTTTTTTTTGCTGTGATTTGTTTGTTTCTGCCAAACTGCAGACTCTAAGTCTAAGGAAACGTGTTTAATAGAGGCTGTAGAAGTTATTATTATTATTTTTTTAATGGATCTCTGATTGGGGAAAGGGGCTAATACAAAACAATAGTTTGCAGCTTCGCAAAACAAAACTCCCAAGGAACTCGCACGATTTCAGTAAAGTCCTGAAGACTCGCTTTCGGAATTCAGCTCCTCGTCTTGAACGACCCTTCCCTACACTGCAAAGAAATACTGGTCCTCGACTGTTTTTTTCCCCCCAAATTAGAGAATGTGTTTAAAAGTTGTCACCTCTTTCCCTACCTATGCGCGCGCGCGCACACACACACACACACACACGGTCTTTGCCCTCGTGTTCCCAGTCTTTCTTCCCCGGTGCTTCTCAATTTTGCTGGAAACGGAAAGGGTAGCTGAAGTGCCCCCCAAATAAACCGCCAATGTCTTTGACACTTGATCGTCCTCTAGCGCTTCACGTCCAGTGCAAGCGTGAGACGCGTACGGTTTGAGAGTGTCTGGCTATTTTTTCAGCCGTTGTGGCGCGCACAGGCGTCTTCTCGGTTTGCCAGTTACTCCGCGCGGACTCGGGACCCCTCGAAGGCGAGCGCGCACAGGTAGCGCGAGCCGGGGCAGGCTCCGGCGGGCAGGCGCGGCCACGTCCCCGCCAGTCTCTACTCCTGGGAGAGGCGCTGGCAAAGCAGCCCCGACTCGGGAAAGTCTTCTGACCACAGCTAGGATCCCCCCCACCCCTCGCCACAGAGTGTGGGTCTGCGAGGAGGAACAACTTTAGTGTGTAGGGAGTGGGGGGTGGGAGGGGGTCTGCTTTCAAGTTAACCGGATTTCGGGATTTTGTGGAAACTCCGCTCAAAAATGAGGCGCCGGGGAAGGCAGGGAGAGCGGCAGGGGAAAGGTGGGTCTCCTTGACGCGCTCATCTCTCGCCAGGCTACCAGGAGCTCCTCTTTGAAGAATCCGCTCTTTTCCCCTCGCTTCTCCCTGGAACCGCCCTGTGTCACATCTTCTCCAACCCCTCCTCTTTGGGGATGCTCCGAACCGGGTCGGGGACTAGAGCACGTCAGGGAAGGAGCGCTTCTAGGGCGAGGCAGAGGCGGCCCCGGTCTTCGCGCCCGGGAAGGGCTGCCTCCAGTCGGGGTGTGATTTGAAGAATTACTGGGGCTATTGTGACAACCGAGGTAAATTAAATATTTATACTCCAAGTTGTTCTCATTATTATTATTTTTTGGTCGGTTGTGAAAAAGTTCAGGGAGTTCAAACTTCCCTTAAATATAAATCCTGGTCTTGGGGGGCAGCAGAACCTGCTTACCTGCCACTGAAGTTGACTTTTGGAAAGGTCTTCATTAAGCTCCGAAGTGGAAGGGAAGCTATCTGCAAACAATATTGGTTCATGTAAATACCTATGTATCTCTAAAACACATATTTTATGTATCTGTATTTATCTACCCAGAATAAAGAAAAAAAAGCTGGTGTCCCCAGTGCAGTTGAATCCAAGCAGCGACATTTCCAGTAAGATATTCTCACAGATGAAGAAAATGGGAACATCTCATTGTATTTGTCTCAGTTTGACTTAATGAAATTTGGAGACACTGACAGTCTGGTCAATGTTCTACGTAAATTAATGCAAAGGTCCTTAGGAAGAGACTGAAGACACCTCTTGCCATTAATCTTAAACCACTTGAAGATTATGATTAAATGAATGGGATCACTAAGCATTATCATTTCAAATAGCCGTTAACTGTCTCCACCCCTGTATTGTGGCAACAAAATAAACTCTCCGTGAGGAATGGTGTTTCTTCCTTCTTTATCTTTGCTTTTGTTTTGCTTTAAGAAGAAAGAGGGGGAAGACAGAAGAGAAGAAAACCTTGCCGAAAGTCTTGGATTTCCTGCTGTTAGAAAGCTGCTGTTTGTTTCTGATTTCCTCATCTTTTGCTACACAGGAAAAAGAAATCGAATGATGCGTCTACATTTGATGAGAGCTAAATGTTAAAACAACGACGAAGGTGCATTTGCTTTATATTCTTTTCCCCTGGAAAAAATTTAAGAAAAAAAAATCCACCAGCTCAGCGAGTTGAAAATTGTGGAGATATAAAAGATGTTTACTTGTCCACATGTATTCGCTGACTTTCATCACTTGAATTTTGTAGGCTTTGGTGTCAGATAGAAATTATGGAAAAGAGAATGAGACACTTGCCAAGGAACAACAATATTATACACTTTCAAGTAAACTCCACCTAATCCTGTATTTGAGGGCTGAGGGGGTGTGTGCTATTTTCCCCTAATAAACCTCAAAGCCCTCATTAGACATAGAGAAAGAGAGGTGGAGAACTCTATTACTGGGCATTCTGACAAAAAAAAAAAAAAAGAAAGCGTCTCCCTGCTCCTAGAGCCCAGGGAGAGGACACCCTGAAAATGTGCAAAAGCCATTGTGTTTTTCTTGAGAGCCCTGAGTTGGGCAGACCTTTCAGAGAAAGACACAGAAATTAACATTATAAAAAGCAAAATGTTGAGACAAAGGGCAGTGGCTAACAACCACCACAACAAAACATGCTAAAAATTATTCTTCAAGCCCTGCGAATTTCCAGATGCCACAGAAAATCAATGCAAAAGCGCCCCCTCCTAACTGAGCAGACAGCTCTCCTGCCGGGTGATGTTTCCAGCAGAAAGTAGAGTTGGAGATCCCACCTCTGCTGGAGCAACGGGAGATGTTACCCTGAGGCTTCGCAGAGGGGAGGAAGGGGGTTTCACCCTCCCTCCCCAGTCGGTATTTCCCACCTGTGCCCTCCTCTCCTAGCTGGGGTGCAGGAGAGGGAGAAGCTGGGCCGATTCTGAGCCCTGAGTCTCCAAGGCGCACCTCGAGCTGAGGCTCCAGCGGAGCCAAGGAGGAAACCCAAATAGGTCCCCAGAGGACAAAGATTTGGCCAGAGAGACCGAGGATCCTGGTCTGAGGTTCATGCAGCTGCCAGCTCAGTCCCGGGGCCAGGCTTCCGTGCCTGGTTGGACAAAAGGCTCATAGGCCACATTGGTCCCGGATCGAGTGTGAAATGCAAAGAAGGGGGACAGTCTGCCCTCCCCCTTTGTGTGTCTGCATGTGTGTGTGTGAGTGTGTCAAACACGTCCACTTAGAGCGGGCCTCTGGCCACAGACGTCAGCTGGGGAAGTTCCCCCTTCTGGCTTCCCCGGGCCCTGAACCCACACCTTTCCTTGACCCCCACCCACAGCCTCAGCCACCCACAGGGCTCCCCAGATCTCCGGTCACGCCTGCACAGGTGTAGTGCCTTTAACTGGAAAGTGCCTGAGAAAAGATCCGCCAGAGGGAAGGTGGGGGGGGGAGGGGGTAAGGGGCTGGGAAGAAAGATGGTACTTCTAGAGCTCAGACATCCCTATCTCCAAGTAATTGTCATCACACTCAATCTTTCCGCCCTGACCTACTGTATCCAAAAAGCAGAGATTGGTTCGCGGGAAAATCAGGCTTACCAGAACGTCGGGGTTAGACGCAGGCTCTCGAGACCTACGCAGGCTTTGCTTAGATTCAAAAGTATGATTTTAATTTTCTTAATGAAGGCGCGCTCTAGAGCTCAGCTGGTAATGACTGTGCTGAGTTTAATAGACTTCTGTCGAACAGAAAAAGACGGATAACTATCGGTTATAAGTAATCTGCTCTAATGCAATTATTTTCCCAGGTTCGAATGTCATTGTGCAGAGAGGGCAGGAGTGAATTAGAGCCCCGGGGACCATGGACGCGGGGCTAGGAGACCGCCTGAAATACGAGCCGAACCTGTTTTGTGAGATGCACTCGGGTTTGGGGGTCGGGGTCGAAGGCTTCAAAGCCCTCGGTCTGCACGTGTGAAAATCTCTGTGTCTCTCTCGCCCCCTCCTCCCCATCCCCCTTCTCCCTGCCCCCCTCTCCCTCCTTCTCCTCTCTCCACCTCTCCTTGTTTTCTCTCTAGCTCCCTCTTCCCTTTTGTCATCTCTGCCCTAGCTAATGTGAATTTCCCTTTCCCCGCCTCTATGTTGCCTGTCTTTGTGGATTTCAGGGAGATCCATTAAGTCCGAAGTGTTTCTCTACAACACACCAACACAGAAGAAGGCTCTTGGGCTACTTCAGCCCATTCACTTTTTGAAATCAGCAGAAGTGGGACCTTTAAGAAACCCATACATAGGAATATATCAGGAGGATTATTTCTATCCCAATACAGAGCCAATCCTGGTTGCTGTCCAAAAGTAACCCCGTTTTAGTTCTAACACAAACTGTCATTCATGCTAGTTTTTATTGGGAATTATCCAAACTCTTCTTAGCTCTCCATTCACACTCGGTAGACACTCTCAGGTAAATGCGACTTTGAAAAATAAAAATACGAGTCATAATTTCCCTTCATATAGAAAGTAAGCCAAATCAGTGGAAGGAAGTCCTGTGTTCTCAAGATGAAGGATTTGAAGGCAGGTGGGCCTGCGGGCGGAGGGGTGAGCACTGGGCAGCCCAGCCAGGTACCCCAGAGCCCAGCTCTCTTGCCTGCCCCTCTGTCACCCGCCACTCCAGCCTCAAGGGCCACTTTAGCCCCACTTTCCCCCCCACCGGCTTCCCTCTCTGCATCCTGGGGAAACAAAGAATGTTCTTAGGGCTGATGCATAAAAAGGCTCACATTGGACCCCTGAGGTAGAGGGGTGTGTTGCAGATGTGCGGGCAAGGTGAGGCAGCAGTACCTGGGGTCTGGTGTGTCTCTGACTCAAGTTACAGTCTCTAGTTCCCTAGCTTCATGCATTCTGTCTGTCTCTACTCCCTACCCCCACCTCCTTCTACAAACATGCAAGGTGATCTAGGCACACGTCTACAGAAATAACCACAAAACTCACAAT